TCTATCTATCTATCTATCTATCTATCTATCTATCTATCTATCTATCTATCTATCTAGGGATCTGAACTTAGGTCTTGTGCTTACAAAGCAAGCATTTTATTCACCTAGTGATCTCCCCAGCCCTGGTGACTGTTAATTTCTGACTAGACAGCAGATAGAGAATTTTACATTGTTGGCAAGATATCCTTTTACTCTTAAAAATGCCACTTAGTTTTTTTGTTTGTTTGTTTGTTTTTGTATTTTTCTGGCAAGTGGTTGAGATAGTTGGAAATGTTTAGTTCCCGTAAATCCTTTTTTTCTTTGTAGGTCCCTTGGTTTTGTAATTTATTAGGCAACACTGTAGCTCATACTAGGTTGAATTGTTTCCCTTTGGTATGCTGTTGATGACTCATGAGATGTTTCAGTCTAGTTCCATGTGAGAGAGCTAGGTACTTTGTGATGTGGAATCCTTTGGTTGCTTTCTGGCCTTTAGAATTCTCTGCCTAGCATGCATTAGGAACTGTTGCCTGTAGTGCTTGGGAGCTCTCCAACCCTCTTCAACTTTGCTGCTTTACTTTTCCTGGACTCACAGGTGGTTACCTTTTTAGTATCTTCTAGTGTGTGGACCAAGACTAAAGCCATGAAGTTGGGTAGTTTCAAATTGGTCCCTGTGCCCTCACCATTGCCATTTCTCCAGTCTCTAATTTCTACTTTGTGATTGTTGTCTCATACACTTTGGTTGTGTCAGTAGAGTGAGGAGTGAGTCTTGCTGCTTCTACTTCTTTGTCTTGGCTAGAAATGAAAATTCCATATAGCTAGCTAGCTAGCTAGATAGATAGGTAAATTTATTTAGATATATGGACACATTTTTAGTTTACCAGGTAATACAGAAATTCCCCCAAGTCTACCAGGGGGATGAAAATAAATAAAAATTTTGCAGTGTGGTGGTGCACGCCTTTAATCCCAGCTTTCGGGAGGCTGAGGCAGGCGGATCTGTGTGAGTTCGAGTCCAACCTGGTCTACAAACGCTAGTTCCAGAACAGGCTCCAAAGCTACAGAAAAACCCTGTCCCAAGAAACCCAAATACATACATACATACATACATACATACATACATACATACATACATAAGTGAGTAAATAAATAAATGAAATTAAAACTTTGGTGGGAAATGAAAACATCCTTTAGCATTAAAACTTGGGTTTTAAATTGAGTCTTGCCACAGAAGTATTATGTGTGTTTTGTATTCTTTGCCATGTAAATGATGCCAGGGTTCCCAGTTTCTTGATTCATTGATCCTTTGCACTACATCTCTTTATGGTGTACCCTAGGTAAAAAGAAAGAGCCCATCCCTTTATTTATTAAATATTGACAAGTAACCGAATTGGTGTTTATATAATCTTAAAATTGAAAATATTTTAAGCAACCCCAGTTAATATTTATTGATTGCTTTTGTAGTTGTTTTCTTGTGTACTGTTTAGATTTTCTGATGATGCATTGCCACCATTTTATTTCACATTGATGTCTTCATGAAAGTACTTTTAAAATACAGTAACCACCAGAAACCTAGCTTTGCCAATATGTGTTAAAAGGAATGCGGTGTGATGTAATACTGAAATAGTTAGGCTCTAGGCTACTAGTTTGCATAGTGTTTGATTGTTGCTACTTTTCCTTGAGACCCATTTAGCCTTGACTATATAGGTACATTTTCCTACTAAAGTCACTAGTTGATTAAACTTGGTACTTGGTAGATCTTACTTTTGTCTTCATTGTTTGTCCTCAATAAAGTGAAAAGTAATAGAAAAGTCTGTTTTATCATACCAGTTTACTTCCCTTGACTGTAATCACAATAACAGACTAATATCCTTCACAAGAAAGATCTGACAAAAAAAGGTTTTTTTATTTTTTACCTCTGATAACTCACAATCTTAAATTATTTTTCAGGTTTAAGACTTTGTACATTCATAAGTTGTCTTAAGTCTGTATTTGGCTGCCTGCCCACATCTTGCAAGTAGTTTGATAAGACTTTCAACATGTATATATATTCCTTGCTTGGTAACCAGAAGTTATCACAGATGTGAGACACACAGTCACCAATGAAACATGTATTTAGGACTTGATACAATGCAAGAGTAGACGATATATTTCATTTTTACTTTAATATTTGAAAATTTTCTATGTGTATACGATAAAATATCAAATCTAACCTCGTCCAGTTTCCCCAGGATTCCCATACACACATTGATCTTCAGACTTCATGTGCATCTTTTTTATTTTTATTTTTTAGAACCCACTGCGTCCATTTAGTGCTACCCACATGTGCATGGCTTTCACTGGAGTGTGGGCAACAGCAAGAGTGATGCTCCATTCAGCTGAATAGTTCATTTTTAAAGTAAAGGCCAGTAGAAATACAGTTAAACAATTACAACAGTCACTGGCTGTGGTTTATTGTTGCCATAATTACTACTTGAAATAGTTACATTGAACAGTACGTACTTCTTTTACATGATGGAACCTATTTTTCAAAATACTTTTCCTGGTATTGACTCGAACCAGTGTTAGTTAAAGTGTTGTAATGAATGGAAGCATCACTCAATTGGAGAATAAGTTTAATTCATCTCCTAAATTGTCAGCTTGTTTGCTGTGATATTGGTAAATGACTTGTTCAACCTTGATAACTTGGTTTTCTTATAGTAAAGTAGAGAAGTGACTCATTATGCTTTAGAAATGGCTCTGCAGGATTCCTAGAGTAGCAGACACTCATGGTTGTCTTGGTCACTTACAACCTCAGCTGGATATACAGTAGGTGCAACATGGATATTTATTGAGTTCTCATTTGATTGACTAGTCAGTCCCATTGCCAGGCTTTGGTTTGGGTTTGGGAAATAATTGAAAATCTTTGTAATGTCATTATAGTAGAATAATAGAAACATGGCTTTAAACAACTAGCAATAGGTTCATGTTACAGAATATATATTCTATCTTTGGAAAACGGTATTAGTGACATTGAACTTTGTAAAAAAATTTTTTTTAGGAGGAACAAAACAGAGGCAAGCCTAATTGGGAGCATCTAAATGAAGATTTACATGTACTAATCACTGTGGAAGATGCTCAGAACAGAGCAGAAATCAAGCTGAAGAGAGCAGTTGAAGAAGTGAAAAAGTTACTGGTACCTGCAGTAAGTAATTTTCATCATTTACATTTGTTAATAAAGAATGGGTTGTTATGTGTTAGTGATTTTATTTATTTTTTTGGCTTGTGTTTGTTTTTCTTAAAAATTGAGTAATGTAACATGAAGGGCCGGCTTGTTTGGGTTTTCTGTCCTGCCCATTTCTCACAGCTGTTTAGCCCCCAAAAGAAAGTAACACAGAGATGTCTATAAGTTATAAAGCTGATTGGCCCATTAGGTCAGGCTTCTTATTATTTCTTGTATCTTATATTAACCCATTATCCTGATCTATGTTAGCCATGTGGCTCAGTACCTTTTTCAGTGGGGCAGATCACATCCTGCTGCTTAAGTGATCTGGGCAGGAGTGAGAGGAATCAGTTTCCTCCTTCCCAGAATTCTCCTGTTCTCCTTGCATCATTTCTACTTCCTGTCTGGTTTTCCTGCCTATACTTCCTGCCTGGTCAATCAGTGTTTATTTAAAACATGATTGACAGAATACAGACAATTCTCCCGCACCAGAGTAAGTTGAACATTTTGGCATGTGCTTATAATCCCAGTTCTCAAGAGTAAGAGGGAGGCAAATCTCTTGAGTTTGATACTAACCTGGTTTACATAGTGAGCTCCAGGGCAGTCAAGGCTGTGTGGAAAGATGGTGTTTGGAGGAGAGGGAAAGGTAATAAGTTAGAGGTCTGTGAAGCTATTACTGAATTGGGAAAGTAGAAAGTGGGAACTCATTATTTGAATTGCCTGTACACTAGGTTCTCTTCTGGCTCTTCCCCCCCCCCCCCCCAGTAGAAAAGTTAATGTTGCATAGTAAAACTTTGTTAGAACATTGTAAAAACTGTTTTCTTACTGAAAGCCGAGCTTTTCACACTTTGCTAATCTAAACTAACAAACATGTTTGGGAATCTTTAAGTAAGATACTAAAAATAAATTTGAGATTTGTGTCGTATGGGAAATTATTCAGTTATCTCTGTTCTTGTGTTTCCTCTTCCCATCATTTTTTCCCTCACTCTTCACTGTTGGTACATATTGTTTTTTTTTTTCTTTAATGGAAAATGAAAAGAAGGTAATTTTTTAGTGTAGATCCTGGGGATCCATCTCAAAGTGAGGCTCTCCAACCAACAAACAATTCACCTCACCCTCGCAACACACATAAGGTTTCTCTGTGTATCAGCCATGGCTGTATTAGAACTTGCTTTGTAAACCAGGCTGGTCCTGATTAACATAATTTATTAAGCTATCTCTTTCTTAATAATAACATGGAAATATTGACTGCTCTTCTTTAAAGATTTATCTATCTATCTATCTATCTATCTATCTATCTATCTATCTATCTATCTATCTATCTATCTATCTATCTAT